TCTGGTCCGCCGTGTGCAGGCTGCCCCAAGATGGAGAAAACCAAGGCCCAGAGATGGGCAGACACCCACCCAGGTCACACAGGAGCAGTGGCCCACCTAGGCCAGGCCAGGTCTCCAGCCTTGCGGCTAGCTCACCCTCCGTGCCTCCCGGGTTTCTAGGCCCCACTGGCCTGCCCTCTGACCCCGGCCCCCTGGGAGCCTGATCGCAGACCCGTGGGGTCTGAATGTCTGGTCTGAATTAGACACGCTGAGAAGCAAAAGCTGGCCGCCCCCCCCAGCAGGCCGCCTGGTGGGACCGGGCTCACAGCTGCTGAGGCTCACAGGGACATAAATCATGGTGGCAGAAGGCTTGGGGGCTGGGAATACCTTAGCCTCCCAAAGGGCACGGGGGCCTGAGAGTCATGGGCAGGGATGCCTGGGTCCACTGGGGTTATTTTCCATCCTCTGTTGGAGCAGCTGAAGCAAGGGAGATGAGAGGGGGCCGGGACGCCATCTGGCCGGCCTCACGCCCTAGCAGGCCAAAATCGCGACTTCAGCTTCTTATTCTGCAGTCATTTACAAATCCACAGAGAAGTAGCTAAAGTAGTGAAGGGAACTCCCTATACCCTTTACCTGGATTCAACAAGTGTTAATAGTTGGTCACATTTGCTTTATCCTTCTCTCACTTGCACATTTTTTTCTGAACCATTTGAGAGCATGTCCCCTCCATCATGTTCCTCTACCCATTAATAACACTTCAGGGTGTATTTCTTCTTTTTTTGTAAGAAAGATTTTATTTATTTATTTTGAGAGAGAGAGGAAGGGATGGAGAGAGAAAGAGAGGGAGAGAAACAGCAATGTGTGGTTGTCAACGTGTGTGTGTTGGGGGCAGGGGTCTTGCACCCCCAACTAGAGACCCAGCCTGCAACCCAGGCATGTACCCTGACTGGGAATCAAACCAGCGACCCTTTGGTTTGCAGGCCGGCACTCAGTCCACTGAGCCACAGCAGCCAGGGCTCAGTGTGTATTTCTTAAGCACAAGGAGACCCTCTTACATAATCATAGTGTTAGCAAATTCAGAAAACATAACATTGACCCATACTTTTATCTGTTGTGCTTATTGCTATTTTGTCAACTGCCCAATAATGTTCTCTGTAGCATTTCCCCCTGTAGTACAGTATCTAGCACAGTGTCATGTGTTACATCTTGCTGTTCAGGTCTAGGTTTTTGATGTCACGTCCACATGAAGTAAAACCTGCAGACAGAGTTGAACGGAGATGATCAGCTACACATGGATGTCCTAATGTTTTTGTAAATCCTCTACTTAATGTTCTCGTGGTAATGCACTATACTTGTGACTGTGTATGGGTGCACAAGAGTTAACTTGCCAAATATGCCATAGTTTTCAGAATTCTGTTTTGTGGTGTTTTTATTTTTTTCATGTAACAGGAGCCTAATAAAATGGAAGTGGCTCCAAATGCTGTGTGACTACGGTCCATTGCTGTCCCTCTCTGGGCTCTGGTTGCCCCATTGCCGTGCGCAATTTCTGAGGCATTCCCACTCGCAATCGTGAACTTAGGGAAAGGAGCCCTGCATGCTCCCTTAGAGGAGGGAGACCTGGGTTCTTGGACGCCCAGCAGGTTGCTTCCTCTGGATTGGCTAAACCTCCTCATTGTGAACTGATGGACTCTAGAGCATTCTTGCTCACGCTGATGTTCCTTGCATCCAAGAAGGTTTGGGCCGGGGTGCAACCTGGAATGTTAAGCCTCTCCTTTATGGTCCGAGGTGACCTGGCTGAGGTTGGTCATCCGCTCCCTCGACCCTGAGATTCTTTTCCCTGAGCTCTCTGACTCCTCTGGCTCTGAGTCACCCTCCCTCAGGGAGCCTGGAGCTGAGTTGGCCCATCCTGAACGCAGAACGTGTGTGTGTTGGGGGCAGGGGTGTTAGCCAAACGGCCCCCAGACGTACTGGTCTGCAGCTGTGCCTCTCCCAAGTCACGTGTATTGGGCTGGCCTTGCAGTTCACAAAGGCTCGCAAACATTAACTGTCCATTACCCAGGAAATCAGGGAAGACAGGGAGCTGCAAAATGTGCAGAATGGAACACTATGCAGTAGGAAAAAGTATGAAGCAGCTCTTTGAACACTGGAGTCTCCAAGGTATGTTAAGCAAAAAAATTCAGAATATGTAAACTGCTGTGACTTGTATGAAAAAACTGTATGTGACTTGCCTGTACCTGCAGACTATCTGTGCAGATACAGATACAGAATCCCCAAGGCCCTGGTTAACAGCGATTGTCTCTGAGAGCTGGGACCCAGGGAAAGTGGGGAGCGGGGAAGGAGAGTTATTGTCAGTTTCTTCTGTATTGTGCCTTCTGGACTGTGAACTCTGTAAGTGTACTAGCTACTTTAAAGGAAATACAACAGAAAGAACCGGCCTGAGCAGAGCGGAACAAGGGCTCCTGGGATGCTGCTAATGGCATTTCTTGATCTGCATGTTGGGTATACAGGTGTGCTCAGCTTGTGAAAACCCATTATGTTGTACACTTAACTGCACATGCACTTTCCTCCATGTATGCTACGCTTTGATACACAGTTTTAACTTAGTGTGCTGTAAATGATTGTGCAAATATGTTTCACAAAAACTGCAGGATTAATGGTAACTGTGCTTCTCTCTGGGACGGGTGATCTCTCTAGGGTCTTCTAGCATTTGATTTTTTTTTTTTTTTTTTTTACAATGAAAACATAAGCAGAGAACCCTATAAATACTTTTTTAGAAACAATTACCAGTATGGAACATTTCCAGACGGACACACAGGAAACTGATAACAGCAGTTGTCTTTGGGGCGGGGCCTGAGGGAGGTATGTATTTTTCACTGAGTACTATTGGATACAGTTTACTTACCCTGTGCATAAATGGTCTACGAAAACGATTTGACAAGGCAAAACAAATACTTATCATTTTGTCCCATCTATTTTTGCTGGTTAGAGGTCAGGCCAAGGAGACTCAGAGGGGTCAGGCAACTTTTCAAAAGTCACCCAGCAAATCTGGTGGCAGCAGTGGGCCTCCAGCCCAGAGCACCCAAATGTCTGCTCTGCCCCCCACTCCCAGGTTTCCTGCCATTGACGAGGCCACAGTCTTTTTCCTGTGGCTTTGCCAGGGGCTGCCTGGATCTGGACCTGGGTAGGTGCAGGGAATGCAATGTGCTTTCCTAATTAGCTCCCGAAGGGGGAAGCGCAACTGGATAGGGACACCGGTGTCCCTGGAACACTGGGGAAGCAAGGTAGAGGGCACTTGGGAAGCTGTCCTGAGCCAGGACCCAGGCCTCTTGGGGCCCTCTTTCCTTTACTTCTTATACCAAAGGGATTAAGTGTAGTGATTTCACCACCCACTCCAATCTGGATCGGCAACTTCACCAACCCCTTTGTTCTCCTGGGGCCTTGGCTTTGGTTTTCATCTGTGAGGGGTGGGTTTGGTCCACCCCCGTGGCGTCTGGCACAGTGAGGGCACTGGGTAAATCTATTTGTTTATCTGCAAAATGGACAGCCCCCCTTGAGGCTCAGAGGGTCAAATGCAGGGGGTGGCAGGGCAGAGTGGATATGACCGTGGACTTTGCAGCCACGCTTCAGTTGGAAAACAATGTAAGTGCTAAATAAATTTTGAAAATAGGCAGGTGAGCCTACCTTGAGGAAGGGGCCCTGCCTGGCCTCACCGCCTCTCCTGGCTCCTCTGCCTGCCTTCCCCTCGCTCCGGCCTCCCACGCTTCTCTGATCCTGGTCGCACAGCGACACAGCCTCCGCTGCAGAGCCAGGAACTCCCGGCTCCACTGACCCGCTGTCCCCGTCACCGTCTCGGCTGAATCTGTGAAGTGAGGAAAACACCAGCCCCTACCTTCCAGGGCCGGTGGGAGAGGAACTGGGGTCACAGAGGCCGGCACTGCATCTGGGGCATCTGCAGCATGGGAAGGAGCTCACGTTAGGTGGACACACTTCACGTTGTCACCCTGCCACATGCCAGCCATGCACCTTTAGGTGTCATCATTCCTCCAAACCATCTCAGTTAAAACAGGGCTAAGAGTATCTCCTTTGAGCACATGCTCATGTGCACGTGTGGAAAACTGTGTGCCTGCACAGCCCCGCTTGTCAAGGCAGGGTTGAAAAATGGGTTCAAGTACAGGTATACCTCGTAGTATTGCATGTCGCTCAGTAGCGCTTCACAGATGTTTTCTGGAGGCAAGACCTTCCACCAGCAAAAAGACTGTGACTCACTTCATCGTCATCTGCTTTATTGTGGGGGTCTGGAACCAAACGTGCAATATAATATCTCCGAGGTATGCCTGTACGGCACGTTTATAAAGTGGAATAAGCAGCCATTAAAGGAATGAGGAGACCCTTTACTTCTGTGTTTTAATTTGAGATGACAGCCAAGTGAGATCAAGAAAAAAAAAATGCAAGGAGCAGAAGCCTGTGTAATGTGCTACCATTTGTGTAAAGAATGGAAGGAAAAAATTACATTTTTTCCTGTATTTGCTTGGTTTCTCATAGGGAATGGGAACATCATAAAAAAACTGGTGGCTGAGGCTGCCGGTGCAGAGAACTGGTAGGTGGAAGACCAGACGGGACTGTCGGTGACACCCTCTGTCACCGACAATCTTTGTTTTCACCATATACCCTCTTGTACCTTTTGAATTTTGAACCATGTGAATGAATATATTCCTTATTCAAAAATGAATGAAATTAAGGTTTTTTACCAGCCCCCCGAGACACCTAAGAGGTGCTCAAGAACACGAAGACGGAACCTTGGTGACCGCGACTTCTGGGGCCTCCCTGCCTTCTCCCAGGCCACGCCCTCCAGGGCCCAGGGCAGCGCCCGTGACATCTGTGCCTCTGCCGAGGTCCAGGCGAGGGGCCCCTCGGACCTCTGTGTTCTCAGGCCCTTCCCTTCCTCAGTTGGGAACACCTTTTATTTAAAAATACCTTTTATTTTAAACCCACCAATCCTTTCTCTCTCTTCGCGCGCGCGCACACACACACAGACATGCACACATCCTCTGTCACCAACAGTCATTGTTTTTGCAAAAGTTCTGCCTTGTCTCTGACCAGCCAGGGCTGGCGCCAGCTGCATGGGTCTTCACAGCTCTCCGGGGTGGGGAAGAGATGTCCCAGGGGGCCTGTCCAGAGGGTCGTGGGCCCGAGCCATTGTCCTCTGGTCCCTACACAAAGGAAGGGAAGGTTCAGCTCCTGGGGTCTTCTCCCCTGTTCAACCAGTGACTGGCTTCCGGCCTCCTTCTCCAGGGTCCTGCTTGGAGCAAATGCCACCGGGGTCCAGGCTCATCTCCGCGGTACTCGAAGAGGGGCCACCCCCCTCACCTTCAAGCAGCTGCCTCCCAGGTCACGGCGGCCACCCTGTAGGAGGGGAAAAAGAAGTTCTGAGGTTCAATCAGATCGCCGTGAACATTGGAACTAACCTTTGTGCCCAGTCACAGGGGACTTAATAAGTAAACCACAGCCACACAGTAAAGTTCTCTGCAGCATAAGGCAGAAGAAACTCTCTACGAATTGATGCAGAATGACGTCAAGATAACATTATTTAAGGACAAAAGCACACAGGAACCTGTGTGCTGAGACCCTGAGAGAGAAGGACACACAAGAAAATTGCTGATCGGTTTTCTCAGAAGAGAGGAATTTGATGATGGGGAGATAGAGGAGACAGATGGGAGAGAGGTATTTTTGCTTTTTTCATTTCTTCCCCATGTGATTTGTTGCTTTTTAAAAAGAATCCAATACATTTAAGAATCATAGTATTTTACACTAAAGGGTAAAACAGAGCCCACAGTGGTTAGCCCCCCGCCTGGCTACATGCCCGACGGCTTCCTCATTGACCTCAGAAGTAGACTGTGGATTTCTCCTCCCAGCCTTCACTCAGGGTGTTCCCGCTGCCAGGAAACGTGCTCTCTGGTTCTGTCTCCCTGGGAAGGTTTCTCCATTCCTGCAATTGCCTCGCACTTCCTGCCTCTCCTGGGACATTCCACCAGGATAACTCAGAAGGGGAAAGACTGGGTTTCTCTTTGTCCCCATCAGGCTGGGAGCTCGGGGAATGTTTTTCACTCTGCGGCCCCACTTCCAGCCCAGGGCCTGCCATGCAGCAGGTGTCAAATGACGTTTGAATCAGTGATGCCCACTGAAAGATGAGCTAAGAGTGGCAGTTCCTGAAGCCACCTGTCCTTCGCCCCACAGGGGCAGTCTCTACCCAATATCCTGACATCTGACAAATGGGTTTCATCCTCACTGTAAGCCAGCGAGGTCACAGACAATGAAGGCCTCCAGCTGTTGAATGATTGGCCCAGAGGCACCCAGCCAGTTGGTAAAAGGGCTGGACTGGAAATCCATGTTGTCTAACAGTCTGTCTTGTTTCCAAGACATGATGGTGTCTGAAATCCCACTGTGCATCCTCACCCCCTGAGCCTTGCTAGGAGCTGCTGGGACAGGCATCTTTCTCAGCCATCTAGAGAAATAGCTGACCATCTGGGAGCTCTGCCCCTGCCTCCCTCCGCCCCTGGGCTCAGGTTGGGGCAGATCCATCCAGATGTGAGCCCAGCCTCCCTCGAGGCTCTCGTGGCCCAGGGACAGCATGTCCATTCACAGGCAGGGCTATTTTGAGGGCTGAGGCCACAGTCCCAGCAGAGCCTGGGGCTTGGGCTTCTCAGACAAACTCTGGCAGGAGTATCTGAGAAGGGGGGTTAGGGGTGGGGGCAGGGGAATTTAATGTTGATCCTGGGGGATAGAAAACCAGCCTCCTACCCTTTCATGCTATGTTGCAAGGAGAGCCACTTCCACTCAAGTCTGGTGGTCCCTGAGAGACCTTAGCCCCACGAGACTGCTAGGACTATACACTTCCCTGAGCCTCAGTTTCTTCATCTATGAAATGGGGACAATAGTTCTACTTGCAAATGCAGCTGCAAAAAAGGCTTGTAAACTGCCAAAAGTACTTGAAGAGGCCCTGTCTCTTAGGAACTCAGTGTCAAGGGCTCTGGGAAGCACTATGGTTAGGAAAGGGGCTCAGTGAGACAGATCTGGGCTTCGATCCCTGCTCTGCCTTGGACCTGTTGGACCTCAGGCAAGTGACTTCGCCTCACTGAGCCCCGTGTGTAAAGTGGAGTTACTGTGCAGCTTATAGACATTAACCCAGGTAAAGTCCTAAGCACAGTGTCAGGAGCACAGCAAGTGTTCCGTGTTCTTCATAGGTATTATTGTATTATCAGCATCATCCAGCAATGGCACCTCCTAACCCTAATGCCTTCTATGTCACTTCTGCTCCAGAGCTGGGTACATCAAGTGGGGAGGGTTTTATAAGATGATCCCATCCCACCCACTCCCCCAGGTAACAGAAGGGGAAACGGTAGAGACAAGAAGCCCCTTTCCATCTCCACTTGCTATTTCTACCACAGAGGGCCACACCTAACCCCTCCTTACAGAGGAAGATGCTCCAGGGAGATGTTTCCATGGTGACCCCAACACCAGATGAGTCAGGTGAGAGGGAATTGGTAGCTCAAAGTGGAGGGATAGGGTCTGGAGTCTTGGAGCTCTCTGGCCCGCAAAGATCAGCAGGGAGCCCCCCAGGGGTTCCCCAAGACAGACAGTTTCCTTCCAGTCAAGTCTTTGAGGGGCCAGAGCTGGCCAGGATGGCCCCTTTCACCTATTCCCCAAGGAGCCTGTGGACTGGAGAGCATCGCTTCTGTAGCCAAATTTGGCTGGGTTCTTGGTTCTGTACGCGATCTCAGGGAAGCAGCCAGACACAGGCGAGGGTTCGTGATCTGCGGGGCAGACCTGAGACCAGCAGAGAAGTCCCCGGGCTTACCTATCATGGGCGCATGACAGACACACCTTCTACCCCAGGCCTGCAGTTACAGGCTCCCCCACACTAACTTTTCCCATGTCCCAGTCACGCAGGCCTGAGTTCGAACCCTGTCTCCATCATGGGCTGTGGCTCTGAACCAGTGACAGCATCTCTAAGCAGATAGGGATAACCCGAGCACCTGCTTTCCAGGTTGCTGAGGAATTGTAATGATAATGTGTGAAGAGTGCTTAGCACAGCAGACCGATGCTCATCAAGACCGCTGTGACTGCTGTCCCTGGCCAGTCTGGCCTCTCCTCTGTGCTCCACCACCTTCAACATCTTCCCCTTTCTTTCCCTACGTCATGTTTCTAACCACAACTCTTGCTGTACCCCGATTCCAGAACACCTGTCTCTACCCTCTCATCTGCCTGCCTCATTCCCGAGCATCCACCAGGAACTTAGCCTGCTGGCGGGGTGCTTCCTCTGGGCTCCGATAGTCCTCTCGTGTTCTTCCTCCCCACCACTGGGCCACAGCCTCCCTGTCCTCCTCTCCTGGCCCTTGGCCCTTGGTCCTGACACCACACTGGGTGTTCCTGATTGTGGCGAATGCAAATCCACAACCGGCTTCTCCGCGAATGTTCTCAGAGCCAACAAAAGGTGCTGGCTGTTGGGCAGCTCAGCTTTGCTGAACTGAATGAATGGGCGAAAGGTGGTGGGGAAGTATCACCGAAGGCCTAGTCAGTGCTTCACACACCAAGCAGGACTTTTGAAGGCCCACCCCAACTTGCCAACCCAGCCTGAAGCACTGACTGGGATGCACAGCTGAGAGCAGCAAGGATCCTCAAGAAAGTACAAATCTGAGACTGAGAAGGCTGACTCAGGCAACCATGGAGTCGAGAGGCTAGAATGTGAGTCTGGTGAGCTAGAAGGGGGTGGTCTGTGGCCGGGACACTGAGGCTTCCTCAGAACAGAGTGAAGCAAGCAGGGGACCTAGGGCAGCCATGGGAACCAAAGACTGGGGGACTCAGAGGCCTGACTCCAGTCCCCCATGCGCTTTCCCTTTTGAAAGGACTGTAGTCATCCTCTGCCTCTGCTTCCCCAGATGTATATGATAACTGCTGGAAACCAAAGTTGTCACATAGACCAGATTCCTTACTGCAGGAAAAGCCTAGGTCAGAAGGGGGAAGGCCGGGGATGAAGCAGGCTCCTTGGGGCTTGGGCAGGAGGAGAGCCAGCTTTCAGCCACAAGAGTCCCCTGGCCATCTCTGTGGCTGCCCAGCCCCATGCATCCCCTACCAGCTTGCTTCTCATCCTTAGCCAGGACAGACCAAGGGAACTCAACTGCAGCTCTGCCCAGCGACTCAACCGTGCCCTCCCCCAGCACTGCATCTTTCTGGGGTTGGGTGCCCTCTGGGGACCCCTTCTTCGCTCCTACTGCTCATCAGCTGGATACTTCAGGCTCTTGGTTGCAGGTATGCATCCATCCCCTTTTCTTCTGTCTCCTGCCTTTGGATCAGGTCTTTGGATAGGAAACAACTGTTTCAAGGTTGGGGTAGCTCAGGGCAACACACACCAAGCAGGCCCAGAGCCTGCCTTCTGGCTTCCCAGCTGAGTAAGTGGGCCATGGGGTGTCCAACCTTTTGGCGTCTCTGGGCCACACTGGAAGAAGAGTTGTCTTGGACCACATATTAAATACATGAACACTAATGGAAACTGATGAACAAAAAAAAAAGTTTTAAGTAAATTTAGGATTTTGTGTTGGGCCACACTCAGAGCCATCCTAGGCCATATGTGGCCTGCGGGCAGCGGGTTGGACACCCGTGGACACTTTCTGAGCCTTAGAGGCCCACAGGCAGGATCAGTACCTGCCCGATGGAGTTCTTGCGAAGCTAAAAAAAAGATGACCAGGAAAGCACATGGTATATAGGAAATGCTCAATAAATGACAGCCTTTGTTGTGATTTCCTCATGCCCACTTCCTAGCACACCTATGGTTGAGGGGCGGTTGTCCGTGGAAGAATTTTTCAAACATACAAAGCCTGGCCGCTTTTCCCTTAGACTGTCAAATTAAAAAAATGACAACGGTCAATACAACAGCCATCCAGTGTGAATGAATCAAAATTATACCTGTTTCTCTTCAGACTGGCAAAAATATATTTTTTTGTATGCTGCAGAATTTAGTGATTAGTTTATACGTGCTGAGAAGAAAAAGGTTGAAAACCGCCGCTCTGGGCTTTGCTGCACCCTTTCTGATTGGGAGACATTACGCGGGTACTTCTGTTCCATACCAAACCCTGGGCTTCCAGTACCAACGCCCCACGAACTCTGCGTCGTCCTCCCGCCTCACCGGGGTCTCCGGCCGTCTTTTGCTCCGTAAGAGGCCCCTTTTCCTGCGCCCCTCCACCCCGCGGCCGGCCGCAGTCCTGGGGCGCCACGTACTCACCCCCTTGCGCTGGTTGCTGAGGCAGAATGTGCAGATGGAGCGTGGCTGGCGGCCGCCGTCGGGGGTGGCGGGGATCGCGTTCTTGCCACTGCCGGCCGCGCGGAAGCACGGCTGCCCGTCGTCGGCCGCGTCGCCCAGCAGCAGCACGTTGGCCAGGTGCGCGATGTAGCTGGACGCCAGGCGCAAGGTCTCTATTTTGGACAACTTGCGGTCCACCGGCTCAGTGGGAATGAGCGTGCGTAGCGCCGTGAAGGCCGTATTCACGCTCTGCGTGCGGTCCCGCTCCCGCGCGTTGGCTGCCTGCCGCTGTCGCACCACAACCACCGGGCCGGCGCCGCCACCCGTCCGCCGCCCGCCCCCGGGGCCCGGACCGCGTCGCGCCGCCTCCAGGCCCTCGCAGCAGCCGAAAGACTGGTCAGAGGCGTCGCTCTCGCTGCGGTTCTCCTCGTCCTCGCTCAGCAGCCGCACGTCCGGGTACAGCACGTGCGCGCCGACGGGGCGCAGCAGCGCGAACGCCATGGGCACCCGGCCGCGTCCCTCCTCGCGCAGTGCCCCAGCCTTGGCCGCGCCCCGCCGTGCGCTCTCGCGCGCTCCCACGGCCCCGCCGGCCGCCGCCTTATAGCCGAGGGAGGGGCCAACCACGCGGCCGCCCCGGCCTGAGCGGGTGGGCTCCATCCTGGCCAATGGGGACGCGCCCGCCGTGCCCGGGCCAATGGCGACTCGCCTGCAGCCCCCGTTCCCTAGGTTGAAAGCGGCCCGGGAGTTGGTGATCCTCCCCGAAGGCTCCCAGTGCCCCCCGGCTAGCCGGGCAAACGCTGGGGGTCCGAAAGGGCCGGGGGGGGCGGGGGTGGATGTGTGAAAAAATGATCTCGTTACCCGTAGCCTAAACCTGCAGAGAGACTGAGAGCAGGTCCCTTCTCTCTGGGCTTCGGTTTCCTGGTTCGGAGAGAGGATTGGGAGAAACCATCTCGGGTATTTGTGCCCTCAGATTCTAATCCTGTGGTTCTGCAACTGTCTTGTGTAAGAAATGGGAACGGGGGCATTGCCAGCACAGATCCCCGAGTCCCGCGTTCTGACCCAGCAGGTCAGGAACGGAGCCGAGGAAACTGCAATGCGTGCGCGGTGGTGGTGTCTGAGGGCAGCCCTTTGGGAAACACTGTAATCTTTCCAAATAAAGATTCGATGGTGTCACATCTCTGATGACAAACTTAAAAAAAAAAACCCCACACATGCAACAAAACTAACGCAAAGCAAAAATAAAACACCAACACCAATAGCTCCATTCATTCATTTATTCATTCAATAAGTATCTGTTAGGTCCCCCCTAAGTGTCAGGCATAGTTTTAATTATGAGGGTACAGACTTGAACAAAACAAATTCCTTGCCGTCACAGAGTTGACATTTTGGTTGAGGTCCTGCTGTGTGCCAGACACCAGACAAACACTTTACTCTTTAGTACTCCTCACTGAAGTCGTGGAGGGAGTACCCCGGATTTCCAGATAAGAGCTTTGGCCTTCAATCTTACAAGGGGCTGCTTGGCTTCAGCAGTGCCTCCATCCCTCACCCCCACCCCCACCCCCAGAATCAAATGCAAGTTTCTCTCCCTCATTCTCCACAGTCCCTCCTTGGACAGCTGCAGACTCCCTGACTCTTGCACAGATCCCCCAGCCCTTACCCCAGGCTGTTCCCTCTGCTGGAATGCCACCCCCGCCAACACACATGCACACACACTGTCTTCCCTGTTGCCTTCCTTCCTTCGGGAAACCTTAGATTGCTCCGTCTGACACATCTTCCTCCTCAGGGGCCCTGGGAAGAATTACTGAGCTGACCATGGCTGCGGGGTTCCTGATGTTGCTCATGCCCCCTTCTCAGCTCCATCCTGGGGACTGGCCAAACCTACATCCACTCGGCCCGGACCAAAACCTTCTCTTCAGCCAAAGTGGCAGCCGGTGTGGCAGCGAGAGCACAGAGAGTGACATTGAAAGGCTTCTAGGTGCTTTCGGGCTCCATCTTCCTTCCTTCTTGAAGATATCTCCCTGCCCTGCCATGTTGTTGTGCTTTTCTCCTACTTCCTTGACCCAGGCCAGAATGAGGGGGTGGTGGGGTGGCTGGTGGCTGGAGGGTATCTCTTGGCTTCCAGGAGAGCAGCCGCTGATATTTTCCTGCTCTAGTGTCTGCAGAAAAGTCTGTTCCCGCACCTGGTTCCCCCTACTCCTACATTTGACCATGACCTTGGCCAGGCTGGGCTTTGCTGAGGAGGAGGAGGAGGGGGAGGAGGTTGCACAGCCCCCTCTCCGCAGGGCCAGTCCCACATGCAGCCCCAGGCCAGGCTGCTGCTTCCTGAGCCGATGAATTATTACCGGGAGATTTCCTTCCCTGTCTGCGCCTCCTTACAGGGGCTCCCGGCTCCCTTCACTTTCGCTTTCTCCCCCTTCTCCCCCTCTCTTAAGCTCTCCGCCTTCAGGTGGCTTGGAATTCCTCTGTCCAGTCCCCTCCCCATTCCAGCTTGATGGGAGAAGCCAAGCAGGGCGTGAACTGGGCCCTGAAGGGGGGGAGGAGGCAGGCTTGGTAAGCTCATTCATTCATTCGCTCATCAGGCAGGTTTTGACACAAGGGGGACCCGGGGAGTAAAATAAAACCATGAATGAGACTGAGCCTGGACTTCTGCAGCCCAGAGGGGAAGGCGAGTTGTAAACAAAGAATTTCAGGACAATGTGGTAAGAGCAAGCCAGGGTCTGGCATCAGAGAGACCTCGTTTTGGCCCAAGGCTAGATGTCTCTTGATGTCTCAGTTTCCTGCTCTGAAAAAGTGGAGATAATAATAGTACCCGTTAATAGGGCTGGTGATGGTTCCCTGGGTTTATGCCAAAAAAGCCAGGGCCTGAAACACAGGCTCAGCACCTGAGAGGAGTTTGTGGTGGTGTTGTGAGGGGCGGGCCCCAGGCTGAGGAGCAGCTTTCACTGCTCCAGGCTTTGTCCCTGGGGGTGGAGAGGGGGACCTGCCACATTCTCAGCTCACCCACACGAGGGGCTTCAGCTCCCTCTGCCCTCTGATCCTCGCTCTGCTCCAGTCACACCCACCCTGCAGCCCACCGCTGCCTGGCAGCTATTGTCCCCAGATATCTCTTTAGCTTATTCCCTTACTTTCTAGTTTTCCCTCCAAGCTCATCTTCTTGGGGGGGGGGGGCCTTCCCTGGCCACTGGGGACTAAAACAGCACCTGCCCCCCCCACCTCCCAGCACCCTTCCGGCGGCCCTCCCTCTCCCCTTTGCTTTATTTATTTCCATAGCATTCATCACCGCTTTCGCTCATTCACCAGCAACTATTAACTGAGTACCTACTATGTTCCCAGCACAGTTCCTGGTTCTGGGAATGCGGAAGCAAACATGCTACATATTTATTCATCCACAAGGATGTCGGGCAAGAACTTTGTATTTTGCTCGTCTCATTTCCTCTCCATTACAACCTTCTGAGGTAGGTATTGTTTTTATAACCATTTTACAGATGAAGAAACCAAGGTTCTAAGAGAAAAGTGACTTGTCTGAGATCACACAGTGGGCCAGTGGAAGAGCTCAGGTAATTTGGTTTCCTTCCCCAACCACATGACCTCTTAGGTGGCCCAGAGGTATGTGAGGGCTGAGTAGGAGTCTGCCACGCTGAGAGAACACCTGGGCTTCCATCCTGCTGAAACATTTTGAGTTCCTCTGAGGCACCAGCTCCGCACATCTCTGAGCCTTTGCCTAGCTTCCCTAAAAGTCCTCTGTGCTCGGTCTGTTCATGTAACCCCCATCCCTGCAACCACTGATCTTTTTGTATCCATAGTTTTGCCTTTTCCAGAATGTCCTAGAGTTAAAATCATACAGTGTATAGCCTTTTCAGATTGATTTCTTTCATTTAGTAATATGCATTTAAGATTCCTTTATGTCTTTTCGTGGCTTGATCGCTCATTTCTTTTTAGTGCTGAATAATATTCCATTGTCTGGAGGTACTATGATTTATTTATTCATTCACCTACTGAAGAGCAGCATGGTGACTTCCTAGTTTTGGCAATTATGAATAAGGCTGCAGTAAACATCCGTATGCAAATTTTTGTGTAAACAAAAATTTTCAGCTCCTTTGGGTAATTAACAAGGAATGTGATTGCTGGATCATGTGGTAAGAGTAGTTTTAGTTTTATAAGAAACCACCAAACTGTCTTCTAAAGTGGCTGTACCATTTTGCATTCCCACCAGCAATAGATGAGAGCGCCTGCTGCTTCACTTTCTTACCCGCATTTGGTGTTGGCACTGTTCCGGATTTTGGCCATTCTAATAGGTGTGTTGTGGTATCTCGTTTTCATTTGCATTTCCCTGATGATGTATGATGGGGAGCATCTTTCATATGCTTATTTGCCATCTGTGTGTCATCTTTGATGAGGTGTCTGTTAAGGTCTCTGGCTTATTTTTTAATTAGTTTGTTTTCTTATTGTTGAATTTTAAGAGTTCTTTGTATCTTTTGGATAACAGTCTTTTGAAAATACATTTCCCCAGTCTGTGGCTTGTCTTCTAATTCTGTTTATATTGCCTCTTGCAGAACAGAAGTTTTAAATTTTAATGACATCAGCTTATCAATTATTTCTTTCACGGATGATGTCTTTGGTGTACCTTCAAAGTCAAAACCATAGGTTCTCTCCTATGTTATACTTTAGGAATTTTATAGTTTTGTGTTTTACCTTTAGGTCTATGAACTATTTTGAGTTAATTTTTGTGAAGGGTGAAAAGTCTGTGTCTAGATTCATGTTTCTGCATGTGGTTGTCCAGTTGTTCCAGCACTATTTGTTGGAGAGATTGTGTTTGCTCCATTGTATTGCATTTACTCCTTTGTCAACGGTCAGTTGACTATACATATATGGGGGTCTATTTATGGGCTTTCTATTCTTGATCTATTTGTCTATCTTTCACCAGTTCTACACGTGTAGCTTTACAGCTAAGTTGTAGCTGGGTAGCATCAGTCCTCTAACTTTGTTCTTCTCCTTCGATATGGTGTTGACTATTCTGGGTCCACTCTAATATTTTTGATACATGTCTTTAAACTGCCTGTGTCTTTGTGTGAGTGGGTTATTAAGTTATGCAAATCGTAGTTTCTATAGATCTCTTTCTTAGGTTGTTTGTGTACTCGACACCGTGTTCAGTGAGCTGAGTCCAGCCCGAGTCCATTACTTCTAACTGCTGCTTAGTACGTATGGTGTGAGCACACCCCCCCTGCCTCCTTTTTCCACTTCTTCAGGGATAGACACTGTGGCTATTTCCAACTCCTGCTTCCCCAAGCAAAGCCGTGAACTTTTTTTTAACATGACATTTTTTTCTTTAAACTCTCATTTTTAAGATTTTATTTATTTATTTTTAGGGAGAAGGGAAGGAAGGGAGAAAGAGAGGGAGAGAAATATTGATTGGTTGCCTCTCCACACGCCCCCAACTGGGGACCTGGCCCGCAACCCAGGCATGTGCCCTGACTGGGAATTGTACTGGCGACCTTTGGGTTCGCAGGCCAGCACCCAATCCACTGAGCCACACCAGCAAAGCTGTGAACTTCTGATGGGTGACTCTCAT